TATATGTCCGTCAATCAGGGATCTTCGTTGTCTTTCTCTTTTTATGCATTTTTCTCTTTCTAACTTTAAAGCAGACTTATTTGAACAAAAATGATTAATTTCTCCAAGCTAAAATTTATTTAGACTAACACTCGGCTCCGTAGACTATAAACGTATTTAAAAGTTATTTAATTCCACACTTTTCCTGAAAAAATTACAAAAAAATTTATTTGAACGCTTTATTCTGATTTAAATTTAAGATCTGCAAAATAGCAGCTACATTGTATTTTTTATGAATTTGCATCGAAATTGAAATATAGAGCCTACATATTTACATAAACAAAACTATGATAGGTGTTCATTTTTAACTTAATTTTTTTTGTATATTTCAACAATACTTTTCGTAATAATTCAGTGTACATAGTCTATTTCTATTCTCTTCAAATTAGCTGTGTTGCGTTTGCAGCTTCTGGTGTTGAGTGCGTTCAAGAAATTTCTGTATTTTTTCAACTATTTTTTTTAGTTTGGCACCACTGTGTGTTGTTGTAGTTGCTATATATTGAACACTCACCCAATGTACTTTAACGCGCAGCGTGTCTGATGGCCATTGTTGATGTTGTTGTTATTAAAGTTATTAGTTTTTTTATTGTTGCGGTTGCGTTTGCAGTTCATTAGAGTTAATTGTTTATCCGCCGGAAATAAATAAATAAACGTGTAAAAAATATTATTATTATTATTTAATAATATGAAATTTATATATTTTTGTGGCTGTCGCTTTATGTCGCTTTTGTTTTTCTTTATGTTTATGTTTGCTGTTGTTACCAACACAGCCCAGCTACCCAACATGGCGTATACAATATTTTCCATTTTTATGCCAAGATTTATTAGTTTAGCGATAAATAAAAGCTGGCGCTCTACATAGAGCAGACGGTCTGCGGCCTCTCTTCATAAATCACATAGAATACTGTGAAATTGGCTTTTATGCGCCGGCATTTTAAACTATATACGGATACATACATACTTATATACTCATATGGCTTGCTGGAGTTTGTGAGCAAGTGAGCGGAATTGATTGAAAATTGTTCTATGACATGTGCAGTGAGTCTTGAAAAAATAGACAAAATAACTATGAATATGATAGTGGAACATCCTATATAGCTGACCGCCATTTGAAGTATTTGAATTTTTTATTGAAGCAGTTGGAGCCTGTTTAAAGAAGACGGAGTTCTATTTAATTGAATGATGTTCTTAATAAAATGTCTATTCTGCAAATAGTTTCCTACGACTAAATCTGTTTGATTTCATTAAAACCGTGCAGCCTTAAATTATGTTGACGTTTAAATTGTACGTTTTGTTCAGTTACCCTATAATTCTAAGCATCCTTTCTAAAATGTACGACATCCTTTAAATTTGTATATAACATTAGATATATTTTCTATCCATAAATAATTTATTAATATTAATCATAGTTTCAATGTCTGTTTGAGACTTCTGTCGTCGAAATTAATGAGCATTTTCCTAATCATAATCAATATGTATCTATGTATATGTAGCTTGCCGGACTGGCATTTAAAATTTCCCCCACCGGGTTAGAGATTTCTCTCTTTTTCTTTTCGCGTCTCTCTTTCCACGTTTCTCTTTTCCTGTTTCTCTATCTCTCTTTCCTTCTTTCTTTTTCTCTTTCTCGTTCTACTTCGTACTTTTTCTAATTAGTTGTTAAATAGAATCTACTTTTTGTGTAGTTTTTTAGGTCTTTAATGTCTCTGACCACATATGGCTGTGAATCGGGGCATAGCTGGCCAACTGGCAAATAAAATTCCCCCAACGTGTTGGAGGCATTAATAGACGTTATTGTAGAGCTTTGTGTTAGGCTTTCTTATCTTTTAAGTTTAGTTTAAATGGTTATATTACGTTTTATAATATAATCGACCGAATTATTGTTGATCTTCTGAATAAAAATAAAATATAAAAAAATGTATGCTAAGAATGAGAAACCTGAACCTCCATTACAAAATGAGATGCAACTTTATTATTAATAAAATAGGCTTCTACCCATATTAAATCGTGTTTGATTCAATTAAGCAAATAAATTAATTCTTGGTATTTTGAGGACAGTGCCTTCTGCTTCTTCCATATTATCTCGGTTATTTTCTTGATTTTTCAAAAGCTGAATTTCGTACTTCAGCCTATTCGTTTCAACAATCAATTTGTCCTCACATTTTTTAATTCATTTCCGCTTGAGCGCGATAATTTATGTGCGTGTGTGTATTTATTTGCGTTTCTGCCTACTCTCTGCTTTCTGTATTGTATTTTTTGTTATGGTAAACAAATAAATTTATTGTTTAATTTATGACCAGTTTATGGAAATGTTGTGCATCATTGATAATAAATTCTTTTATTGGGCGTAAAAGTTTTTGTAGTTATGGTAGTGGGATGTATTTTTTATGGGGTTGGTTAAGGTGATCAATTTATGTGGCCTTCATAGATGGTATTTTGCGTGTTTGCGAAATTTGTGAATGTGGAATTTGTTTTATTAAAGAGAGAGCCATTCCAGTTTTTGCTCTAGGCATATCAATACATCTAAGATGAAGATTTGAAGCTATGAGCGTGGTTAATAAGAAGTTTGCATTCGGAAAAGTAGCTTAATATCAGAAAAACCAAAGATAGAAACATCACATCGCATGAACACGTCTCTAGTTATGTAAAATTAGCATTTTATGAAATTGATTATGTATTCCAATATTTCTGATTTTTGTACTACTTAAACGTGTCACGCCAAACAGCATTACAACGGTTCAATAGTTCAACAGGATAATGCAAATTTATGTATGAGCTTGTCCGCTTCCAGAGAAAAACTCATTAGAATATTTGCACACATTTTCTCAGTTCACCCGCACAAGCCACTCAAGTTGGTCGCCAATATCATTTACTTGTAAATTTTTGTGTTATCCTGCACTGTCAACATTTTCATCTTCGTTGTTTGCTCGTTGAAGCAGAAAAAAAAACACAAAATTCCAACTTCGCTGCATAAAGGCAGAGTGCATGTGTGCCATGCCCCCATAAAGAATGCAGCGCTACGTTGCGCCACTTAAACGTGTTGCATAATTCAGGCAGCGTTTATTCAAAGCCATTGCACTGAACAAGCAAGCAAGCTGCCCCTCTCCAAAAAAAAAAGTAGATTATACAAAAAAATAGAACCGGAACGGAAGTTGAAAAGCGCATAGACAAGCAGAAAGTAGCAGCAGCAGAAGAAGAAGAGGCAGCGCTGTGATGAGGCAAAATACTCAGATGCTGCTTACTTATTAAAGCATGGCAACAAAAAGTTGCCAACGAAGGCATTTCAAGCAAGAAACATGAAAAAAAGCAGGGAGAGTGAAAATATTAAGCGGGTTCAACGCGTCGTATGCGTGATGTGCGCTATTTTTTGTTTGCCTTTTCTGGAGTTTACAATTTCATTGTTGGACAACTTACACGCTCAACTTAAATTCATTCAACCTACTTTGCTTATTTTGCATAAAGAGATAACAACAAAAACAACAGCAGAGAAAGGCGCAGCCGAGAGCTGAGCAGAGAGGAGAGGAGAGGAACGGAGCGAAGCTTTGAGCATCGCCGTTTGTTAGCAAAAGTGTAATAATCTGCATGGCAGAGCCGCCAACAGATGGCGACACACGCACACAGGCGTGCCATCATCCATATCAGCATCAGATCATAACACATTATGGCATATCATGTCGTGCAACTCGCTCTGATATTCTAATAAAAAGAAATTTACATATGTAAGTTTAACTTCTTTGCCGCGTCCTTGGCGCATCACATCTAGCCGGCTGCTTCCTTTTCCTTTTGCCTTTTCATTCTGCCTCGTCTTCAACTTCTCCTTGACTATACGTACAACATGGGCGTACTAATAATAATGCTTAGACTCTCGTCTGTCTCTTTGTGCGGTGGTGGTGGTGTGTGTGTGTGTCTATATTTGTGTTGTGCACACACTAGCCGCCGCAACGTATGCAACATTACACGAACACACAAGCCAAAGAACATGGTGGAACGGCACAAGGACACACACAAGGAACAGCAGCGTCTTGCTTTTAATATTGTAATTTTATACTGTTTACTTTATAGCACACTCAGCGAAAAAATTCAACAACTGCCGTGGTAATTGAAGATAAAAAAAAGGAAAAAGGGTGGTAAAGCAAATCAACGGTTGCAACTTTTTTCCCCCAAGTTTCAGATGAAAGGGCTTTTGTAATAGCATATTAAGAAGTTAGTTTTTAAATTTGCATTACAAATAACGCTTCTAACTGAATAAAGATTGCGTAATACTGAGACACTTCAGGAGAAACTTTGGATTGATAGACCGCACAAAAAAAAGTAGCAGTAATGAATGCCTTCGGAATCTTTTAATATTAATTGTCCCGTAAATATCCCTTATATTGCTTTGAAAACAAATAAAAGTATAATTTGATGGTCCGCGATTTTGAGCCTGTCCTTTAGAAATATTAAGTATGAAATTTCAATTTTATTTATATTAATCAAAAGATTGTGTCCGCTATATTTTAATTAGAAATTATTGGCAACTAACGATACTATTTTGAGAGAGCAATATTGGACTTATGTCCAGCTACAAATCACTGGGAAATAAATTACTGGTAGTAGAAGAATAATCAGCTCCTATTTGAAACACCTATACAAAAATAAACCATTTGTTATATAAGTACGTATTACTGCTGCAAACTGGGGGCACATCATTAAATACAAGTATGTTCTAAAAAGATGTCTCTCAAACACCAAGTAATTTGTTTCAAGTGTAATTGATGTGGATTGGATTCTGATTATAATTGTAGTAGCTTTTTCAAAATTGGCAACAAATAACAATATATATCGAGCTATTAAGTGTAAACTGTAGTTTAATAAAACAAATTAGCAATATTTCTACAACCAGCTGAAAGAGAATCTTTTCATGCAAGCAATACTCATAAGTAGCTGGTAATGGCACAGATGGAATAAAAGACAGGTTTAGCATATACTTTTACTATTCATTGGTATTCAATCCTTCATCATTTGTTTTTACATTTTCATTACCAATTAAATTTATTTTACATCGTTTTCAATCACAGTTACATACTAAAAATTTATTACGTTACGCTACCCAAATATTATTCACGTTTTGTGTACTCGTACTTGTATTTGTTTTTGTTCATTTATTTTGCAAACACTTTACTAAGCAAAATTACCCAAATTTTTCTCTCAATGCATACTGTAAAGATGTCACTGTGTGCCAGTATCTATGTGTACATATGTGTATGTGTGTGTCTAAGTGTGGGTTTCTTCTTGTTGTTAGTGTTGTGTGTGTGTGCGTTTGCGCTAGGCGCTGTTTACACGGCCTATGTCTACATTTAGCGTATCGTATGTATACACATATGCATGTGCTTGTGTGTGTGTGTGTATCTATGTATAGAAGCTCTCTAGGTATATTGGAGCTTGGTGTGTCTGTTTGTTGCTGTTGCGTTTATTATTGTTGTTGGTGTTGGTGTTGCTGTTATTATTATTATTTTTTTTTCTTGTGTGTTGTGCGCGTTTGTCATTTATGGCACAAGTTTCTTAAATCCAGCACCTTCTTGGCCAAGTTTGAGCTCTTCATAAATTGTGGGATTTACTTCATTGCACTGCGTGTTGCTGAGTGGGTTGTGAAAATGATGCGCCGCATCTGTGGCACCACGATGGCCGCCATTGCGCTGCTTCTGATGATGCGGATGCTGTCTACTGCCGCCATTGGCCGTGGTCCCCGTTAGGGCCGCCGCCGTTCCCGTTGCCATTGACGCTCCCTGTGTTGTTGCCGCCGCCGTTGGCGCTGTTGTTGTTGTCGATGTTGTCATTGTGGCGGCAATACCATTATGGGTGCCACTGCTGCCGCTGTGTGTGATGCCGCCGCCACCACCAAAGCCGCCACCACTGCCGCCATTCTGTGTTGTGATGGCGGATGTCACAGTGGGTAGCTTTGGTATGAAATTTGTGTGTGTGTGTATGTGTGAGCATGTGTGTGGGTGTGCAGACGTACGAAAGTGTGGGATACAACAACGGGACATGGAAAGAAAGACACATTGCAGTTAAAACATAAAAAATATAGATGTACTCGTATATATAAACATCAATGTGTGTATACACATAGTAGTCGGCACAATATCTTGACAAACTCAACGTACTTAGCTAAGTAAATTATTAGAGCGAATACTGATGTTCATTTGTCATATCAACACTCGCAGAATAAAAATCTACATGCTTACCGCATTCACACTTTAAATTCTTTCTACAATATTCGTACAGGTAATTATTGTATTTGGCAACAAACTTGAATCGCAATATTTCATTAAACGGTTATATTAAGAAGCAACAATGATTAGTAAAGAAAAAGATATTTAAAAATTTAAAAATACTAAACATATTTATATTGTTTTTCGTTTTTTTATTTTTATTTTGTGAGGCTGATCTATAAATAATAAAAAGTTCACCTAAGGACGTTTTCTTAACATTGCACATCGTCTACCTCACTTACAATTGCAATTTTGAAATGAAAGAAAAATAATGAAAATTGTTGTCATTGAGACTGGCAGGTTTTTCTTGTCAGCAAAAATAATTGCAATTCTCTAAAATTCTCAAAGAAGAGTGAACAGAGATCATAGATATTTGAAATCTATTTATATAGTTGCGCAATCTCGATATATTTTCTTGAAATACTATACAAATTTTCATTGTGCAAAAACTAAGAAAATATAATCTAATTAACAGCATGGCCTTAAAGCTGAAGCATGTGTTGTGTTCTTCCTTACAGTTACAAAACGTTTAGATGATATTTTATTCCAACATTTTATGAAAAATTTAAGAAATAAATTTATTTTAAATATGAGGATAACCACTATACCTTCATTCCCAATACTGAACAAATATTTGGAATCTTCTTTTTAATTTTTAAACAGCTACGGTGATGAAGAACATACATATCTCTATAGCTAATTCCACTTTTAACTCAAATAAAACGTTTTTAAAGAACTTAATGTTCAATGTTGTTAGAATATCATAAATTTGTTGTCAGTCTAAAACCAAAATTAAACAGAAAGAAATTTGTCGGTTGTTATTAGCCTGTCTTAGGGTTTATCTTTTATTGGCACTAGAATCGAACATTCAAAATGTCTTTATATTTACAAGTTTTTTATTCGTAGCATCTGATAAAAAACAAACCTTAGAAATAATTAAAAATGTTAGCTAAAGTCAAGACGTAGTTGCATTTGTCAAGATACATTTGCCGACTAGTGTGCATAATAAGTCTTTGGGCTTATGGCGCCTACGCTAAACAGTCTTAGTGTCTGGCTTACGAACGTCGCATGCAGTCTGTGGCTACGACGAACACGGCACAAATACAAACAGGACTAAAATCTCGCCATCAATAAATATAATACACACCTGAACCTGTTCGAGCCCACGTGTGTAGGTGGGATTCTCGAATGCGACGTTGGCGTTGCCCGCCTTGCCGTGATTGGCACGCTGCCGCCGATAGAACACAATGGCGGCCGCAGCCAGCAATATGGCCAGAATGCTGGCCACAATGCCGCTGATGGTGCCCACAGCACTCGAGTAACTGCTGCTCGCCGAGGTCACATGGTGGTCGCCGAGCGTGAATCTAATCGGCTCGCTGAGGACACTGGCACCTGTAAGACACAAAAGGGAAGGTAGTGGGACGGGAAGAGGCATCAAATTAAGCTTCGACTTGTCAAAGATATCACCCATCAGTCTCTCTCTATCTCTCTCTCTCTCTCTCTCTCTCTCTCTACGCACCGTATGTATTGCCAGCCTTCACCACCAGCTCATAGAGCACATCCTTCTTGAGCCCATTAATGCTTATTGTTGTGTCCTTTACATCGATGCGGCGTATCTCTAAAGCACCAGCCACAACGTTATTGTTGTTGCTGTTCATACTTGTTGCATTATTCATGGCATCCACGCTCATGCCCATGCCCATGCCCATGCCCAAGCTCGCTCCTGCGCCCGATTGCTGGTTGAGCTCCATTGATGATTCGCTTGGATTCGACGACGGCGAAGATGTGACGGAGGAGGACGATGGTGGCGGCAACACGGCGGCCTCATGGTAAAATATTCTATAGCCGTCAACGGCATTTGGATTCTTTGTTGGCGCATCCCATCTGTAATGAAATAGTTTTGAGAGCGTGTGCATGGCGCCGTATTATGAGTAGTAATATTGTTGCAAGCGCAAAACTTGTCTGGAATTTTAATAAATTTAATGCGGCTCTGGCCTAGCCAGTAGTATGTCCGAACCCAAACCGAAACCCCAAACGGGACCCTAACTAACCCCACTTGTATGGCCCACAACAGCCCACAGCTGTTTGTGCGTCTCGCCCGATTCGCCTGATTCGCCAGACTCGCAATCTCGCAGTCTCGTCGCAACCTTTGACGTTGACTGAGTGCATTAAAGTGAGATAAAAATCTCAGCTTTAATGGATTTGCGGTCTATTAGTGCAGGAGAGCAGCCATCCAGTGAGAAGGGGCTGCCGTACACGTGTGCGTGCGGGTGTGTGTAATGAATGTATTGGTTTGTGCGCAAAATGGATGAGTTTACTTCCGGCCATGCTTTGGAAAAGTATTTAAGGGCTTTAGTGAGCCAACCACGTCAGACTCTGCATAGTTTTAGTGCCAGATTAAGGGAAATGACTTTAAATGGTCTGTGTTAATAATGACAGAGTCACACAAAAGGCTTCTTCATTACGAACTCGGGTCGAGTGGAGGGATGAAGTCGCATATTGAAATGAAAGTAAAGCGACTGTGAAACAATGTGGTATATATGTACATATATACATATACATATGCTATGAATATAATGCTTATGGATGATTCCAGATACGAGTCAGCAAATGTTGAAATAGAGCAATAAAAACATAACTAAAGGGCTGGGGAATTAAAGTGGACTTTGGGGGATTTGTGGAAGTCTAACAATGGGGTTGAACATAAATTGTTATTATTTAAAAATAGTGGGAAACCAGTAAACTATAAAATAGCAAGTGTTTTATTTATCACTGGAAAATGTCAATTGTGGCGCGAAAAAAATGTTCAAGTTGGCAAACTTCTTCTAAACTGAACAAACAATCTTTCTAATCTGTACCTCTCTTTGTATTTATCTTCCTCTTAAAAGCTGTTTATTGGAAACTACTTCTAAATTGAACAAACAATTTTTCTAATATACATTGTATTTCTCTTCCTCCTAAAAGCTTTTTAATAAAAATTTCATGATTATGTTAAGTTACAACCACCCTATTCAAGGCTTAATCTAGGCATCCATATGCATAAATAGATATGAGTTCATTATACAAGTAGTTGAAGGCATTTAAAATGCTGCTTCTTTAAATCAAAGCTCTGTTTCTTGCCAGACTGGCTACTAAGTCTTCTCTCATCTCAACTTTCCATTGTACTTGTATGCTATTTTTTAAAAAATCGCTATTTTTTGCCCTTCTATGCTGAATTCATTTTGATAAGAACTAGTAAATTCTGTCAAATACAACAAGATTTATTCTTCACTTACTTGATTTTCACCTCACTGTCGAAGATAAATAGATATGAGTTCATTATAATTGAAGGCATTTCAAATGCTGCTTCTTTAAATCAAAGCTCTGTTTCTTGCCAGACTGGCTACTAAGTCTTCTCCCATCTCAACTTTCCATTGTACTTGTATACTATTTTTTTAAAAATCGCTATTTTTTGTCCTTCTACTTGTATGCTGAATTTATTTTGATAAGAACTAGTAAATTCTGTCAAATACAAAAAGATTTAATCTTCACTTACTTGATTTTCACCTCACTGTCGAAGATAAATAGATATGAGTTCATTATAATTGAAGGCATTTAAAATGCTGCTTCTTTAAATCAAAGCTCTGTTTCTTGCCAGACTGGCTACTAAGTCTTCTCCCATCTCAACTTTCCATTGTACTTGTATACTATTTTTTAAAAAATCGCTATTTTTTTGTCCTTCTATGCTGAATTCATTTTGATAAGAACTAGTAAATTCTGTCAAATACAAAAAGATTTAATCTTCACTTACTTGATTTTCACCTCACTGTCGGATATAACACTGACGACTATATTCTCGGGTGGGCCGGGCAAGCGATCCCGATTCTTCTCGAAGCAGCCCACAATGGTGCGTGCGTATTGCAGGCTGCAGATCTCCTTGGAGCGCACAGACTCGCCACGACACCAGTTGAGGCACTTGCGCGGCACATTCTCGTCCGCACAGCAGGAACGATGATCGGAGCCATCGGCCGCGCACTTCATTAGCTTGTCAAAGTCCACAATGCACTCGGGCTTGTCGGCAATGGCATCGAAATCCACATAATAGCTGCAGGCACTGCGGCAGGGCAGCGACACATTTTGAGCGGCACAGCATTCGGATACATTACGATTGAGGGCCGGCGTATTGCGGATACGCACAGAGACAGGCGTGGTGGAGGAACCGAAAGGATTCTCGGCATGACAGAAATAGTCGCCGACATCGTTCGCCTGCAGTTTGCTGATGCGCAGCGACATGGTGTAGATTGTTGGCCGGGAGACGTTGACACGCACCGATATGTCGTAATTCCCGCCCTGGATGACGGGAACGCGTCCGTCATGATCCCGCCAGAATATGGTCTTGGGCGCCGGTTTGGAGTCCACTGTGCAGCGCAACTCGACTTCATCGCCCACGGAGGCCACGGTAATGCCGGCTGCTTGTATCTTGGGCGAATCTAAATATTGAAGGGAAATAGGAGTGGGTATTAGCTCTGAGCACATGTCGTTTCGCCTGTTTCGACTTACAGCAGATATTGACGCGCCTGGTGGCCTGCATGGGCACTCCATAGCCATTGTCCGCATAGCAGGAGACATGTTCCATATCCGCCGACACATTGTGTATGACCGTCACCATGTGCCTGGACGTGTCCTGGCGCACCAGGTGGCCACCCACATAAAGCGATATGGTGGGCGCTGGATTGCCGAGTGCCAGACACAGAATTGTCATCGAGCCGCCCTCGGGTATATTGTCAGCGGGATGCACGGTCGGGGGCTGTGGGTAATAAGCACAAGGTATTAATGGCCCACATGGGGCGGCGGAAGTTCAAAAAGCAAGGTGTCAAAACCAAATCATTCTCGCCTTTAAAAATAATGATTTTGCTGCTAAAGTTATTAGTGGAAAGTAAACGATTTTTCGACGCTCACAAATAACAAACGGATATATGTATATAGTATACAAATAAACGGAGCGAAGGCTGACGGATTTAAAGAGAAAAAGAGATTAATTGTCATTGACTTTAATCTTTAACATTCTACACTCACGGAACTGAAACAAAAATTGTGACAAAGGTAGTTTTGTATTTTGCATGATTGAGTTCAATTTAATGATTCTATTCCGAAAGTAATATTTAAAGAAATCTTTAAAACAAGCAATTTTTAATAAAATTAAAAAATTTTAGCAAAAGTAGTTGTGAGGGTTTTGCATAATTGAGTTCAATTTTATGATTCTATTCGAAAGTATTCTTTAAACCAAGCAATGTTTAATCAAATGCAAAATATTCATTATTCTTAAATAATTGTGTATAGAAATTCTAAATAAATCGAAATATTTCGTTCTTGTTTGTTTTTCAGTTGATAAAAATGCATAAAAAATTTTAGTCTGGAAATCACCCAAAAGAATGATTATTTTCTACTTCTATTTTAACACCCAACGCAAATACTATATTCGGCTGTTTTGCTCACATAATTGTTTTCGAAATTTTGAAAAGTTAGCTCTACTGAATAGAAATAACAATTACATAAGAAAGGCTGCACTTTAAAATAATTTGTAGAATCAAAGACTCAATATTCGCATGTTTCTATTAATAGTTTTTGATTTTAAAAAAGTGTTTCATCGCGGATTAAGCAGCAGAAGGCATTCCAATGGTTTGTTCTTTTCAAACGTTAGTTTTTGTTACAATTTTTAAATTTTTCTTGAAATTTAATATAAATTGGGTGTTCTTTTCTTTAAATTTATAAAAATATACATATCTATAGGATTTTAATGTTGAAGGTTCTGTTTTTTCATGTATCTGTGAAACACGCGAATCGAGGTAGGACAGAAGTTAAATACGTATTTGTAAAATATTAAACGGGAACACAAATGGCCTCAACATCTAGCTCATGCATTTATTTGTTTATTTGATAGTCTTAGATTGCTTCAACTCGTCTTCTTCAGTTAAGCCCTAAACTTTTTTCTTTATTTTGACTTGCATAACTTCGAATATCGTCCAAATCTAGAAACCAAAGCAATTTCTTTTTACCGAAGACACGTTCTGTTATGAATAGTTTCCTTTCCGTTTCTTATAGACCCTAAAGTTATCTAAGAGCTAGAGTAGGACTCTACTACCCAGCATTTAGCTGAATATTCGAAATAGATTTCAATGAGCTTGAGAAAACAATTCAACTTACGTCTACGAAAGCTGGCAATGCGGGATCTGTCCAGGCCACCAGTGTTTCAGATGGCAACGAGGTCGCCCGCTCGCCCACCGCCTCCACATAGAGGACATGCTGTGAACTGGGCTTTAAGTTGTTCATGCGCAGCCAAGCGAGCTTCGTTTCAATCTTATTGAATTGCTGCGATTTCATGGCTTTGTGATAGACTCTGCAAGTGTTTTACGGACACGGAGTTTGGGTTTAGAGTTGGTCTAACTGGTCCGGATGCTGCTCTGTGCAATGATGGTTGGTCGATGCTTACCTGTAGGTTATGCGCTCATGTGGATGCGAATATTCCGGTGGCTGCCAAGTCAATTGCATCCATGTGGCGCTGTGAGCCACCACTGCCAATGAATGGGGAGGCGAGGGTGCACCCCAGGTGGCATTCATCGGCGGCTGTTGTGAGCCGTTCTCTGTGAAGGAGGGACAAAATGGCATATCAATTTGGCAAAGCATGGAATTGGGAGCAGTATGCTCGTAACAACAACAACAACAAAAATAGCAACAACAACTACTACTTGGCCAATGTCACACAGCAATTAGACAAATTTGTCGGCTGACGCGACCGAGTTGGCCGCCTTTGGAAATAGCGACCTCTTTCATTTCGTTTTCGATTCGATTCGATTTTGATTTCGAATTTGATTTTGATTTACCTTTTTCGCCACTGGCATTCGTCGATGTCGTATTTATCAGCAGCATGGACGATGGTAGCGATGTGCCAAATTTTCCACGCGTCACGACCATAATGCGGTATAAGGCATTCGTTTCCAAATTTGTCAAATCCACGCTGGTCTCATTGGTGGTCAATTCCTAAGTGTATAATTACACACAGTACGAATGATAGATGAAAAGAGAGGGAGCGAGAGATACAGAATGTGGATAAGTATGCGGAGAATTAGAGAAAAATAGAAAAATAAAATGGAGATAAAATTTGTGCACTGCGTGTGGCTGCGGCTTTGGCTTGATTTCGCTGAAAGACATGTCGCCATGATTAGTACTTTTTGTAATTGCTGCGACGCAGCGCAATTTGCGGTATTTAGCCCACAAAATGACGCCAACACCACATTCGTCGCGTCGCGTCGCCACCAACACCAACACTGCCACTACCACTACCAACGACCATAGACCATCGACCATATACCATCGACCATTGTCAGTCGTCCAGACTGGTGTTGGCGTCATTTTGTTGCAAAAGCCATCGTTGAAATTGACAGCAATGGCTCGCCAGCCAGTCCCGCAGACTCCATTCCAGACATGTCCCAACATGTCCCGCTTAGATGGCCACCCGCCATTGTTGCCATCCACATTAAAAATCGTTAGCGTAATCTGTTGCTACAGCTCGGCATGTTTTTTCTGCTCTACAACCCTCAGAAAATTGGGCATATGGCCGCACATGAGGCACAAGGCACACGGTATGCTCCTAAATGATAGATAGTTGCCATTAAGGTTGACAGTAACTGTCGTCTGGCCACCTGTTAGGCACCAGCTTCGAGTAGATGTCGCCTCCTTATAGATTTATTGAGTGCACCGTTTGAGTTCGCGAGCTGCTCGAGAGTTCATGGACAGTTTGACTAAACAGAGACAGCTTAGATGGTGTGCAAATAAATCTTAGGAGCAATAATACACCAACAAAAAAAAAACTTTTATCACCCTCTAAGCAAAGAAAGAACAAACAACTTACAGAGGGCTAATGGCATATTTTCAGAGGAAGAGCAATTTGCACAAATTGTCACTAAATACTTAGCACACCTGTATATCTTCCCACACAAAAAGCTGGAAAGTTCAAAAGCACAGTAAAATTAAATTCTAGAGCACAGCAAACTATTAACGATATGTCTAGAAACATTTCCCGCAGATATACATATTTATTATTATAGCAATAGAAGAGTGTCAAAAGCTTTTTGCATGAAAACTAATACGGTTTCTTAAAGTAAGTTATTAAATTTACAAAAAAAAAAAAGAAGCTTCAATCCAGTGTTGTACATTTTATAAATAATGTCTGTTAACGAAGATTAATTTCCCGACATCCAATCAGAAAACATTTTGCTAAAGAGCAGAATATTGTGTGTTAACGATTTCGAATGTGCTAAGCAGTCAATTAATGGCATTAGCAATCGGTAGAAAAATGAACAAAGTAATAAAATAATCAGAATTTCACAATAGGCCTTAATGAAAAAAAATTCTCTTATATGGATATAATAAATACTTATATAGTGCATCTGGACCTTTTGTCTGTTCAACTTGTTAAATGTAATATCTATGTAGCTAAGATAAATGATTAGTAGTGTGTTGCCAATTTTAAACACTTTTCAATATTTCGTATTTAACGAGCAATAGAATTTAGATTACTACATACTTGTATATATGTGTTTTTACATGGAAAATCTGCGTGTCTGAATACCCCTATGTATGTTTATTGTATAAATTATTTAAAAACATAATGAATGAGAGAGAATGACTTTTTAAAACCGATAACTAGCTATACGATATCCAAAAATGAACATCTAACTTATTATATTGAAAAAACAAACAATATGCTTTGAACATTTCGACCACCACGAAATGTAAGTAGTGCTAAGAAATGTTTGAGTGTTTTGCAAGAGTGTTGAAGAATACGTTAAAAATTACGAAAAAAGAGCGTTATAGTTCAGGTTTTTGTAGATAACTTTTATAACATAACATATTATATTGAATATTATATTGAAAAAACAAACAATATGCTTTGAACATTTCGACCACCACGAAATGAAAGTAGTGCTAAGAAATGTTTGAGTGTTTTGCAAGAGTGTTGAAGAATACGTTAAAAATTACGAAAAAAGAGCGTTACAGTTCAGGTTTTTGTAGATAACTTTTATAACATAAGTTAATGACCAATTGCTGATTAGTCTCTGTGACTGATTATGATCTCTGATTGGTAAAAAATAAAAACGTCGCCATCAAAGTAATTTTTATAATTTATTTTAAAAAATTTTTATTATTATTATTATTTAATGCTGCGAAATCGGCCTGTAGATTTGGTCATAATACGAGAAGTAGACTTTTTATTAGATATGATAGCACCCTTACAGAATTTGAAAAACTGTAATTTTTTAAAATGATTTAATTGACTTAAATTTTAAAGTGATTGGAACTGAGTCATACTCAGGAAACTAACTCATATTGAGAGCTATGCCAGGCCCCGCCATCGAAATAATGGCACTATTTTTCCAATTACCTGGTGAATGCACTTAATGAATCGCTTATATATTTTCGCAGTTAATATGTTTTTTTTTTTTTTTTGATTAAGCGCATCCAGGCGGTCTGCTTTGCGGAATGAAATCCCAAAACCCACTCAATCATTTGTAGACTAACTGAGTTCTGTGCCTCGAGCTGGCTCAGAGTTGTAGTCGTCGTCATTTGCTGTTTTTTTTTGTATTTTTTTTAATCTCTTGCAGATGTCGCACTTTGCGGTTTCGGCCTTTAATTGCATTTTTCGTTGCGTGGCCAGTACGAACAATTTTCGCGTTAAGTAATTTATTTCGTTTTATGGTCAAATGTTGTTTGTTTTTGAGCCGCCAAAGTCGTTGGCTGTGGATATGGATGTGGATGTGGATGATGATGATGATGCTGGTGCTGCATTAACTTGTTTTTGTCGTCATCAACTTTGCCATTGCCACTAGATGTTGTCGTGGTTGTTGTTGTTGTTGCTGTTGTAGTTATTGCCCGGTCGCAGTTGTTGTTAATTTTCATGTTTGTGGCTAATATGCGCTTTGGCTTTGGATGCCGCTACTTAGCGTTGGCAACGCGTTAAAATGATTTGATTTACGCGCGCACAGCACGCAGCTACTGACCTGACACTCCACCCCCCTCTCCCTCCGCCACCCGCCATCCCCTCCCCCTCCCGCTAATTTGAACCTATCTCACAACTGAGCTATGCACATACCGCCTGCCATGAATGAGGCTTTTTGGTATGTAAGTCAATGTCAGGCAACTGACAGTCAGACAGTCAGACATTTGGACAGCTGGTGGGTCGAGGTGGTTTCTGTTGTCGTCGCCGTCGTCGACATCGTTGTTGTTGTTGCTGTTGCTGTTGCTGTTCATCTCTTTTTTTGGTAGCTCGTTGCGGTTTTTATAGACGCTTCTTATTTTGGGCAGCGGTCGGGTCTCCATTCTCGCTGTTGTTGCTTTTGTTTTGCGTTTTCTCTGCTTGGCGGTGCGAAGTCGTAAATCTCCATTTGTTTGTTTTTCACTTGTAACGCTCGTTTAGAGCCAGCCACTGATGTCTTCTTCTTCTTCCTCATCTTCCTTTTTGGATATGTATGTATATATCTTGCTGTTGTTGCTTCTGGCATGTCAATTATGATGTAGGCATGTCGTATTTGTATGCGGCTAATGCGTTTTTGGCATGGAGCTGTCATGTACTTGAAAGTAATACACTTATTCTGATCTGGCTGCCTGAAAAGGGAAACTCTAGAAGTTGCTGCTGCTGTTGTTAGGAAAGGCGCTGGGGAGGGGAGTTGGGTCTGGTTGAGAGAATAAACTCAAACTCATTACAGTATTTAGATCATTTTTTAATTTAATTTCTACGCTGCACATTATTCTGACAAAACTGAAACCACATTTTAAACAGCGTTCTTTGCGATGTGGACAATTTTTCAAGGGATGCTGCTTAGTAGCAAGGAAAAGAGGAAGGTCCGAGAAGTTCAAAGAAAGAAATGATAAATAAAAATACAAATTAAAAACCAAATAGAAGCAGCAATATGTAAGGCGTCCACAGATAATACACATATAATATGTGAAAAAATATTTCTTAATATTTGACAATTAGATTACATTCCGGTTCTAGTCTCAACAGATAAGAAATTGGATCCATAATTTATTTATCAATCATAAGTCACCATTGAATCAATTAATTGGGAAGTATTTAAACATCTCAAAATGAAGACGCCACAAAATGTTCATTAATATTTTAGAGCAGAATAAATAGTGAAGGTTTGAGTTACATTTAGAAAAATATATACAAATTCTATTACATTCTATCGACTAAAGGACATTTAAATAAATGAGATAATGGGTTTTCCAAGAGCAGAAACAAAAAACTTATTGAATTCCTTCTGCAACTCCAGAAACAGGAATACAGGCTCACAACAGGCCTACTTAAAGGTGTTTACTTTTAGCAAGGAACTAAAAGTGATCGCAACGCTGGAACCCCTTTCCAGCTGCCCAACTCTCTTAAGATTTAGTGTAGAGTACTTCTCATAGCTTTTTCTCACCCTGCAGTACCGAGGAAGAAAGGTATAACCTGAATATTGTATTAACATTTGAGAAAACCAACAGCTTCATTAAATCGTTTCCAGATATTACATTTGAAACTACTTAGCGGTAATTCTTGTTGCAAGTTTATGCGCAAAATAAATGAAATATCTGATTTCTTCCAACATTTACTTTTCTAATTTTGAAAAAAAAGACTAAGTAATTTTTTGCAGACGTTAGTTGCACAAAATTATTTGAAATTGTAGTCCAGAATGTGAGTACTTCTGGACTTGCTGTTGGTTGCTAAAATTTCATTTGAAATACAAATTTTTTTCATAAGCTTTAATTTTCTTAAGTTATTTATTTAATACAGTGTTTTTATATTCAACTTAGCAACGTGAACCGAAAACGCTCTATCATGTTGTCAAATAAATAAGGCTAAATCAGATAATAGACACTCAGAATGTCCAACTTAAAATGTTGAAAACCCAAAAACAACTTTACAGCGACCAAACGGCCAATCGGTTGTAGACCGATAAACTTTAATTTACTGTCCCAAGTTGAACTCCACTTGCCGG